AAGGCATCATATTTCTACTAATTAAAACAGATCACTAGCCAATTGGCAATTAAAAACTTTCTGTCATTATTTTTAAAAAGCAGGCTTACCTTTTCTTGTTCTCTGTCAATGAGAAAAAACAGATATTCAAAGCTCCGGGGAATTACTCCTCTAAGATTATGAGTGAAGTTATCAGAATCAGGTGGTCCTAAACAAAAATAGTTACATAAATATCTTCTTAATGCTTTTAAGAAGAGACAAAAGTGCCTCATACTGCCACACTGCAGACCAGATAAATTGCCCACATTAGGCTTTGTAAAACTGGCAACGTTGTCCCCATGTTGAACACATGGATACCATCACATCTAGTTTGGCTCTGAGGCTGCCTTTGCTGGATGAGAGATCAGAGTCAGGAACACTGCTAAGATGCCAGAACGTGCACAGTCTTAAAATTAAAGCATGAAGGCAGTTATAATTGTATCATACTATGGAAATTCCCCCCTGCCCAAATGACTAAGAAATACACTTAAAGCATAAATGAATTTGTTGGTTCTTACCCATCATAGTAAACGTTTTCCCCGAACCAGTCTGGCCACTTGAAAAAGAAAAGAAAAGAACTACTTGATAACCTGCCACAGATCAGATATTGCAAATGTACACAGAATAAAAGGTTGAAAACTTACTATGCAAAAATGGTTCCATTGTAGCCATTCATGCATGATTCCACTATATTTCTGGCCACACTTGAGAAAACCGATTCCTAAGTAGAGAAGATCAAATAGGTGTTAATATTTTATATTGATTGAAGTGGTTTGACTTAACAGAATGCTGATACATAGCATAGAAGACTCTGTTCATTAAACAAAATATATATGCCTATATTCAGAAACGCTTTTCATAAAATATGAGCAATTCTTCTGGCATAAAAGAATTTTTATTATGCACAAGATAATGAAATCAATGAGATGTGCTTCCAAGTAATGGTATGCAAGTAATAGGTTGGAGTCATTATGAGAATGTACTTAATGAACATAGCCATTACCAAAACTGAAGCAGTTAATGTATCATAAATCTTAATAACAGAGTACAATCAGATCGACTTACTTCTCCTAACCACTATTCCCCTCTGCCTTCAGCTGTCATGTCATACCCCTTGACTTCATTATTTCCCACCCCTCCCCATTTGTCTCTCTTTAAAAAATACATTTTAAACTGTGAGGGAGGGACTCTGTCTTTATAGCCTTTAGCTATTTTAGGCATTTGAAAAATATTATTAGCTTCCTATTATATGAGTAAAAATATAGCAGGCATAGCATTGGCCCTTCCATCTATAGCACTGATAGTCAGTGGCCCGGGAGCCACCTGTGGCTTTTCTGACCCCATTCTGCTCAAAAGCCAGTCGAGTTCGACCCTAGGGTTGCGGTGCTCATCTCCGTTTCAAAGTCGAAGAGCCAGAGCTGTCCGAAGACGTTTCCGTGGTCATGTGGCCGGCATGATGAAACACCAAGGTGCACGGAACGCTGTTACCTTCCCACCGAAGTGGTACCTATTTATCTACTTTCAATTTCTTGCTTTCGAGCTGCTAGGTTGGCAGGAGCTGGAACTAGAGACGGGAGCTCACTCTGTCATGCGGCAACTCGGGTCTCGAACTGCTGAACTACTGACCTTCCACAGCCTGCAGTTCAGCGTCTTAACCACTTGAGCCACCGCAGCTTTTAAAGTAGCACGTATATACTGGTTACCTTACCATTATCAACTCTTCTCCAGATGTAGCCCAAACAAGAGTTCTGGTAAACTGTTTACTTCCTGATTTTTCAGTTGGTCTTAACATGGAACGTATGATCAGAAATACATGCTATGTTGTATCTGTTAACTTGGTTAACCTTCTAGGTACCCTCAGTGCAAACAGTTTTCAGACAGGCAAATCTAGCAAATTTACCTGAGTTGTGTCTACATCTGCCACATGATCAAAGGTGAAGATCTTAGGTTCAGGCTTTGAATGCAGACGGATTGTGCTTGATGAAAGAACAGTTAAACACAAGCCCTGATCCCCATCAACATGTACAGTTCCTTCTGGAGGAGGACGCACCCTCACATAAACTTTTATAGTATCACCTTCAGTGCTAAAAAAAGAAATATCTGCATGAGCATGATAGCAGAGCAATTATACCATTTATAACATTTAACTTCCATCAAATTATTTTGACCCTAAAAGCAGACAAAAAGTAGGTAGACTGACTACTGTACATATAACTATCATGGAAATAAGGTGCTATCCAACTTTTTACATGCACTCAAAACAACATGCCAACAGGCAGCCCAATCCTTTGAATTTACTGCTGAAATCTTAAGAAATAACTTGTGCCATCACAGATTAAAAAGGGAACCAGTTCCTGGCAAGTGAGGTAGAATCATCTGGCTTTGTTGAAGATTGACATCAGTTTATTTACTTGTAACAAAATGTATTTATGTTTGGGCCATACATGGGTTTTGCAAAATCAGTCACATCTATGCACACAGGAATTAATAGATTCTTACCTAGAAGGAGATAACACTGCATCACGCGAATCACCTAGAAAACAAAAAAAAGGGGGGGGGGGATGCAAGTAAAACATTTGTTACCCAAAGCACTGTTAATCTTGCTGAGAGAGAGTTTTGCCTAGTAAAACCAGGATTCTGTGAGCTTCACACAAAATCTGGAAAGCAGAACTGTGGCATTGGGTTGTCCATCCTGGATTTAATGAAAGATGTGCATTAATAGTGGCAAAATGAATAACGAAGGGATAATTTACTTTCAGAGCCACAGGACTATTGGGATTGCACATCATAATGTAAAGTCAAACTATGCCCTCCAAATAGCATATTTTAACATGTTATTCCTACAAATGTTTGCTTCTGTTATTTGGAGACTTCAAATGTATTAACTATAAACGGCTTGGGTCCATGTTTATTGTAAATTATCTCAGAATTTGTTGTGTCTGCAAGTCAGTCTAGAAATACAGGAAAATATGTATACTTTAATATAGAGCTCCACAAATTCCAGGCATCAGGTTGACATGGAGCCTAGAAATGCCATTGCAACACCCATTGTTTTCAGCAGTTATTTTATAGTACTGTCTCTTGAGCTCAGACTAGATGTGACAGCATCCTCATCGCCATGAGGATGCCACTACCATTTTAAAGAAAAATAAAAAATGTAGCTCAAGGCCCATTTAAAGTGTCCACAGCACAAAAGCAAAAGAACCAAAAAAGAATTCATTTTAATTTCATCTTTGTTCAGCTCAGCAAAGCAGCTTTGAATACATTGAACATACAATATTATGTATACTACTTCCAAATAAACATGCAGAAGGGGAGGACTGGACTGAAAAAAAGTAAAACCTGTTAGCTGTCATCTGGATGGTCAATGAGAATGAACTAACCCAGGTCACTCACTTATTTAAATGCATTACAACAAATACTGTATGAATACCAGATCGAACCTATTAACAGGATCTTAAAAGGTGCAGACTTATGAATTGCAGAAATATTAAAGGTTTGTGGGCTTTGCTTTGTTTGCTCTGTGGTTACCACCAGCGAGTTCTGCATGGGACCTTGTGTACCTGTATGATCAAACACAATCCAAAGGCTTATACAGCTTCCCCCCAGTAAAATAAAACAGGCACCCAGTAGCACCTTAAAGACTAACAAAAATTTATTCCAGCACAAACGTTTGTGCTTTAGAGCAAAACTGAGCAAACGAATAAACTGTGTTAGCTTTTTTTTCCCCCCTACTAACTTCTTCTTCTTTTTTTAATAACAATTTTTATTTTATCACAACCAAAATACAAAATTACAAGTTGTTGACATTAATAAAACATTGCGTAGAAAATACAAACATTAGAGTATGCATAATAGTGAACAACATGTGATGAAAGACATTGTAATATTTCTGAGGAACAGTAAAGTTGGAGAAATCTGAATTAAACATGTATTCTAGTAAGGGTAACCATTTCAGGTAAAGATTAGGTTTTGGACCCATAGCATGTGTTAGCTTTTAAGGTGACACAGGGCTCTCGTTTTATTTTGCACAGTACGCTAACATGGCCCTGACTTGGATGGACCAAGCTAGCCCGATCTCGTCAGATCTTGAAAACTAATCAGGGTCGGCCCCGGTCAGTATTCCGATGGGAAATCAACAAGGTAATGGCAAACCACCTCTGAACGTCTCTGGCCTTGAAAACCACACTGGGTGGCCATAAGTCAGCTGCTGCAACTTGGCAGCAACAAAGAAAAGAAAAGGGCACACGGCCATCCACCTGAAAAATTATCCCTGTGAGTCGGTCCTCCTCACTAGCCCGCGAAACCACCGCTTCCACAGGGGATGTACTAAAAGGAAGGACAGGATTGCCCATTGGAAACAATGGGAGATGCTGGAAGACCCATTGGAAACAATGGGAGCCCATTGTTTCCAATGGGCAATCCTGTCCTTCCTTTTAGTAGATCCCCTTCCACGGAGATCGACATGCGGTTTTCTGGGAAGCCGAGAACCTGCGTCGCTGGCCTTGGGAAGAGCTTGCAAAGGGGAGATGGCGGTCACGACAGTGCCCTTAAAAGGCTGGAAAGACTATTTTATCACTATTCCCTCCTTTTTGAAAATAGGACCGACCCGAATGGAGGCGCCTTTTAAAAAGGGCGCTGAAGGGGCTTCATTGACACCCAGCGCCCGTCGCGGCCTCAAGACGGACGCCGAAACTGAGCGGGCCACAAGAGGCTGTCTGGGCAGACCCTGAGAAGCCGCGTCCAGTCCCCCGACTCAGGCTCGCCGTCTTACCTTTCATCCCGGGAGCCATCCTCCTCCTCCTCCTCCTCTCTCGCCCTCCGCAGGAGGCTGAAGCCCCGACGCAAAATGGCGATGATTTGAATTTCGCGCTGAGGAAACGCCCCTCCCCTTACGTGACGCCCGTGCGGGAGCCGACGTAGACGGGGGGGGCAAGAGAGAGAGTGTGTGACCTTCGTCACGTGGCCCCGTGCCGCCGGCCTGGTCACAGGGGCGGAGAGAGCGGGGCGAAGGGCGGGCCTTCTTCGATTGGCCTTCGCCTGCCGCCGCCATGAGCAAGAGGAACCAGGTGTCCTACGTGAAGCCGGCGGAGCCCGCTTTCCTCAGCCGCTTCAAGGAGCAGGTCGGCTACCGGGAGGGGCCCACGGTGGACACCAAGGTAGTGGCGCTGACCTTTCGCTCCCGTCCCCTCTCTAGTCGCCAGGCTGGCTGAAGTTGGGCGTCACGGGTCTCTTGGGCGTATCTAAGCCTTCTTAAAATGGACGGTGCAGCCGGTGATATGAAAAGATCGCCGCATACGATCCGGCGGTAGAATATCAGCTTTGCTCACCGCACAGGGTCCCAGGTTTTGGTTTCTACTACCCCCAGTTAAAAGGGATAACATTAGCACTGTTGATATAGCAGGAGGACGTGGAAAAGCTCAAAGATGTGTTCAGCCTGGGTAGACAAGTGACCTGACATGAAGGCAGCTTCATGGACTCCTTGTATGTCTGTCACCCAGGAAGCAATGTTCCCTCCAAGCTGTGGAGTCTTGTGAGCAAAAATTCTACTTTGTGAGCCACTGGCATTAAAGTTGTGAGCGAGCGATTTGGCTTCTGCATAAATTAGTTTGCTCTGGAGCCATCCTTCCTGAGAAAAGACAAAAATGTGTGAGCTGGAGGCTAAAAAAACTGTGAGCTAGCTCACACTAACTCAGCTTAGAGGGAACACTGCCAGGAAGCTTCGCTGTGGATGTTTGAACACAGGTCTCCCCGGTTCTGGCCCTATAGGCTATAGTCATCATTACACCACCGTGGTTGTCAGCAAATAAGAGCATCTTGGGGGCGGATGGCCTCAGTCTTACATGTGTTTACTTGGGACAGAAGTGAAACTTGTTTCTAGGTAACCGTGTCTGGCGTTGCAAGACCTGCCACAGTGAACTGATGACTGTTAAGAAAGCATCCCCTTCAGACCTAAGGTGACTGATGGACTTCTGTGCTTTGAATGCTGGAGAAAGTCAGCAGGAGTAGCTTTCCCCACCTCTGGCGTATTGGGGAAACACTCTGTTGAGTTTCTGGAGGTGTTTCAGGCACAGGGGGAAGGCTGTAGGTAGGACGGTAGTCTGAATCAGCCATCCAGAATGTGAAAGAAGACATGTCACCCCGAGCCAGTGCTGAAGATCTCATATATCAACACTTTGGGGCAATTATACTGGAGTAATTAGTCCCTGGTTCTGTGCTTTATATAAAAAAAAGATTGTTAGAGTCAGTTATGTGAATGCATTGAATGGCTGGTGGAAGTTCAGCTTTCAACCATTCTGACTGCAAGTTAATGGCTGTTAAGTTAAGGGGTAATCAGTGCACATTAAACTGTCTTGAGTGTGTGCCCTAAGATCTCACCCATGTATCTTTCATTAATTAATCCAGAATGACTGCTGCTCTCTGGTTCTGTTCTCCTGATGGGTATGGATAATGATTCTCTCTCTCTGTGGCCATAAGGATTAGTTGCAAGTATGGTAAATCCAGACTCTTACTGCTTGTGTTTGCAAGCTTCTCTTGTTGCAGTCTATATTTTTTCCTGTGGGGAGGCAAGCAGGAATAGCCTCTTTGGCTCTGGCAGCTACAGCCTGGATTCTGGATTTGTGGACCGTAGCCACAATGTTTTTGTTTTTACTAATGGGGGCAAATGAATACAGTGGTGTCATAAGTAAATACAAAGCAAGCCTGTTCATACATAAATTTTAAAAGTGATTAGTAAGCAGCAATGTCTCAATTTTTGTTACGTTTATACATGGGACAGTGTAGAAATAAGTTTCACAATTATAACAAACTGTTTTCATAGGCTTGCTACATAGCAAATGTATCACCAGTGCAGGTAGAGCTAGCTTTCTGAAGTGAAGGAGCAAGCATAGAGAAAAAAATTCCAAAATTAAGAGTGAAATGTCTTATACTAGGACTGGTCAGAAATGCATGAAATAATGAGTAATGCTTTGAGTTCCCCAGAATTCTTCTTCAAAACAAAAGTGGGGAGTGTGGGCATGATGCAAAACCTATTGTGAAGTTTGTATTTAGATGTGCAGAGTGTTATGCAGGATAAATTCCATTAGATCACTGATACCAAGTGGCTCAAGAGCTACGTGTGGCTCTTTGACATGTCCTCTGTGGCTCTTCTGAGCCCTGTTCCCCAGCATGACAACTGCCTCTGTTTCAGGATAGTGGGCAGGGCCTTGGCCCAGTAGGCCTTGTGTTGTCAAGTGGTTCCCAATTTGTAACAACCATCTCCAGAAGGACAGGTAAGCTCCAAGCCTTCCTGAAGTGCAAGACTCATGCCGGGGATGGAAGCAAATGTGGCTCTTTTAGCTGAGGGCAATGGCAATTGTGGCTCTCTCCAAGCCATGGAATTAGTACCTTTGGGCTAGACCATGCAAAGTAGATTTCTGGTTGTATCAAGATTTGTTATTGTCAAATCTTGGAAATATAACACACATCTCTCCATCTCTGTATGGATATAGAAAGTATGTGAATTTTGCCTTATGGATAAGCTTTCTGATACTATCCTTTCTAGAACATCAGGTTCTACTGATTCTGAGTTTACTTCAATCTGGTTTCCCTTCTTGGCGTACTTATCTACTGTAAATGATCACGCTTTAATCTTAGACACTATAACAATGGTTTATTAGAGTGTTATTTATACTATTTACAGTTGTTTCCTTTCATGTTGCGTTCTTTTACTCAAATGTTTTTCATTGTTCTTACTATTGCTGTTATTAATGTAATGGTTACATATATTGTCTTCTGTGTTGCTGTATCTGTTTATTGAGAATAAAGTTTATTTACAAAAAAGAGCCACCATGGCAGCAGAGCTGGTAATGGCAGTTCTCCCTCTGAGAACTGCCATTACCAGCTGGCACTGATGAGATGAATCTCCGCTTTGACCCGCCTCTACCAGGCTAACTAGGAGCTCCCTGGTGACCTTTTCACAACAGAGAAGCAACAATTGCAGTTGTTGCCATCATTGGGTAGTGCTGCACTTTCCTACACTATTGTACAAGATGCACTCTGGGAAGATATAGAAGTCTTGCTCAAACAAAAAGCGAAACAATCTTAAAGATGTGAAAGTTACTGAGTTTCTCTGTAGTGCCATATTTATACTGTTTGACTTCATTGTTTATTTATTTATTTATTTAATTTATACCCTGCCCTCCCCGTGAGTGGGCTCAGGGCGGCTTACATAATTGGTCTATAAATGATCATTAATTCACATTAAAAACAGTTTAAAAGTTCAACTTCCGGTTTATGGAGCAGCGATGGCGGACATTCTCCCAGGACTGTGGGGGAACGATCCAAACACCAGCGGGTTGGAGGGGCGCTACCTTTGGGATAGGCTCCAGGCCAGAGGGCTTTTGAGGGGTAGCCTCTTCGATAGCGTAAAGCCGGAGAATTAAGGCTCCCCTTCGCCCTGATGGTCCGGCCGCTGCGTGGCCTTCGGGCACAAGCTGGTTTGGCCGGGACAAGCTCTGGAGATCGAGCGAAACAGCGTTGAAGCAAGCAAGGTCATAGAAACTGACTGACAATGAACATGAGTTAAAACTAAGCGGACAACTATAAAAAGCAAATCCCCCCCCCCGGGGGGGAAAGCGGATCGCAAAGACGGACGCCTCTTATGTGAAAAGACTGATAAGTGAGAGGAAGGGGGAGGAAAAACGGCGAGTGTGTTTTGAGAGGCTTACTTGATTGCTGACAGCGTGGGAGCGATCTTTAGAGTCGGAGGGAAGCGTCAGAAACTAAACAAATCGTAAAAAATGGCGGCCATGCAAAGAAAGCTGAAAACGAAACCACCTGGCAGCCAGAGCCCAAAACCGGAAGAGGGAGCAGATGTCATGAAAATGCTAGTGGATATGCTCAGGCCAGTGATGGAGCAACTCAATGGTATTAACCAGCAACTGACTGTGATGAATAAAAACTTAGCACCTCAGCAGCTCCAACTGAAAGAAACGGAGAAGAAGGTGGAGTAGGCAGCTGGGAAAATTAAGGAGTATGGAGCAGAGGTCCATCAGTGGCTATTAGCCACAAGGTATAGATAGGGGCTCTGGGGCAAGTGATGCTTTGTCTTCTTGGTGCTTGGGGGGGGTCAACAGTGGGAGGGCTTCTAATGTCCTGGCCCCACTGGTGGACCTCCTGATGGCACCTGGTATTTTTGGCAACTATGTGACACAGAGTGTTGGACTGGATGGGCCTTTGGCCTGATCCAACATTGGCGTCTCTTATGTTCTTATGACACCACAAGCAAGAAAATGAAGAAAAGGATGGGAGAAGTGGAAACAAAGCAAAATCTACAAGAAAACCGTTTGTTACAGCTGCAGATGGAAAAAGCCAACATGATTCTCAGATTCCAGGGAGTTCCTGAGGCAGAGAAGGAGAATCTGAGGAAGATACTTAGCTAGATCATTGCTTCAGCAATAGGCTTAACAGCGGATGAACTGGTAAAAGAGATGGAGACGGCTTATAGGGCTTACTCCAATTACATTAAAAAAAAATAGCCTGCCTGGAGAAATTGTGGTCTGATTCTCAAGAAGACAGACCAGAGATGCTATTTTAAAGGCGACATCAGCAACTCCACTGGAAATGGGAAATGTAATCATTAAAACTTTAAAAGACATTCCATTTGAAATTCGTCAAAAGAGGAAAAACTATAAGGACTTTCTTCAAACTAATGGAATTTCTTATAGGTGGGCGATCCCGGAGGATGCTAAATGGAAATTTTCGGAAAAATTGAAAAAAATGCTACATTAGCATTTCTTTTGTTTTCTAGATTGAAAGTCATTCTGTTACTTTAGGAACATTAAATATGACTATGGACATTTTTACTTGGCATGAAATTATCACAACTAGCATATTAAAAATATAGTGTATCCAAACAATTATTACAAACAGAATACCCACCCACATGCAAAAACAAAACTGAAACCTTTTTATTTTCTTCTGACAATAGCACCTCCTAAAGGAAGAAATGCATCTTGTTCTTGCATTGGAGAGTTCAGTTTGTAACCTAGGACTTGCTTGTCCTCAATGCACAGTAATTAGATCAATCTGATACCATATATATATATTTTAGAAATGATTTGGAAAATATTTGAACACCTTGTCATAAATATTTTATTCATCATGTTAAAATAAAACG